TATTTTCTAAGCTATCTCTCTACATGATTTCTTTGATGAACCTCCAAACTAAGAACACCGTGATGTGTTTAAGACCTTCTTATTATGATAAAACAATGTCGGTGGACGAAGTTCAACAATTTAATCTGAAGTTCTACTTGAAATTAGGAAAACCTTGGATTTTTTTGGTCTTATACAAAGTATTTCCTTAAAAAATCATTAGTTTTAAACCGAAGATTAATCATTATGATCGTACCATTTGACTTCTATGAATGGCTAAATTGCTTGTTATGTTGTTTTTGTGGGAAAAGGCTGAATGGTATATTCCTGCTCTAGTTTCATTGCTGTTGTCTTCTCATTTGTAATTTTTTGCAGATAAATTTGAAAGACCTGAGCGGGGAAGATGTCGCATGCGAGGAATTGAATGGCCTGGTTAGCTTCTGTTTTTCCGATGCATGGGGCTATTACACTGGCAAAAAGTGGGGGAAGCTTGTTTTATTTTCAAGAATAAAGCAATATAGATGTTCTGAATAATTAATTTCTGTGGCCTGCCTTGCTTTTTTTGTTTTTTTGTTTTTGTTTTTTTCACGTCTAAATAATATGATGACATTTTCTTTTTGATGGTTTAATGTGACAGCCAACTCTCCCTTAGGTGACCACCCTCGGTACAGGTAAGAGGTGACACAAAAGGCCAAAAGCTGATTGGATCCTTAATAATCATTATTATTTCCTGTCTCATCAATAAATTGAATCAAATACAAAAAGTCCCCGTAAGAAAAAGGCCATCCAAATCAGGTAATGTTTTCTTTGTATTTTCCCTTTCTTTACAAATCGCTGTGACACTTTAGTAACATGAGGATTTTGTAGATAAGTCACTGGTCCCTTATCGCAAAACTGAACAAAATAATTTGTCAGATTTCTGGTCTCGAAAGTGACAGCGATCGCTTGAGAATTAGTCGCTTTAGCGAAATGATGGTTCAAATATAGTGCTTTTTAAGGGAGAATTGACTGTGGTCTTTTACTCTTACAAGATCTTTGCCTCCACTGAATAACCACGGTTCTCCTAAAATGGGACATACCTAGACGCCAACCGTGATTGATGGCTCAGTATAACTATCTTTTCAACTGAACGAGCCATTTTGTAAGGTCTGTATTACCAAACCTCGCACTTCCTCTTAGGGTTCATAGTGCTATTAATAGGACAATTAAACGCTTCAGAGAATTCCCTGAAATTAGAGAGAGTTCCAATAACCCTGTAAAAAAGAAAAGAAAACTGTTTTAACTTCCACAAGAGGACATCATTCTTTTTAATTCCTTGATAAATTCACAGTCGAAGCTCTCCTCATTACGAACACCTCCCTAATACAGCGAGGTTTCCAAAGTCTCCAAATTACCCAAATATTTTCGCTAAAAATCGCCTCTCTAAGATATGGACCCTTCTTAATGCGGACAACAGACACTCAATCTTAGTCCAAAAGTAAAAATTAGGAACAAAGCTAACCCGGCTGTTCCTGATTACAGCGGACACACTGTTGATCAAGCTCTAACAATTAGAGTTTGTAATACAATTTTCTATTGGAGTTACACAAAAATCCGAGCAGAAGCTGAGGTTCGACTGCAAATATGATTTGTAACCGATTTTAAAAGCTGTTAGAAGACAACAGGCATTATAATTTACATATCTGTAGTCTACATTCTAAGTTGCCGTGGGTCTGTTCAGGAATAGACCACAGATGACGTCAAAACTTGGTATGAACGAAAAAGTGGCACAGGGGGTGCAGCTGACTGCATGTTTCACTGATTTTCTTTCCGTGTCTTGACGTCATCTATGATCTATTATTTAACAAACGCACGGCAACATGGAATCTATATGTTTTGTGTAACAAATACGCAAAAATTTTGTTAATATTGAGGTCATCTATACTTCTATTCTCTTATAGATAATAAGAAATAACCAATCAAAATAAGTGTGTAATTTGGGGTGAAAGTTTCTAAAGAAACTGTGGTGCTGCGTCGGTGAGCGTAACAAGGAAATTTGGTATATCAACTTGGTTGAAATTATAAATTGGCCACCGTAACGAGTTCAAAAACTGACGTTTCGAGCGTTAGCCCTTCGTCAGAGCGAAGGGCTAACGCTCGAAAGGTCAGCCTTTTAACTCGTTACAGTGGCCAATTTACAATTTCAACTTAGTTGATATACCAAATTACATGCGTAATTTGGTCTGTTATATAATTTGTGTTGAAGATCTTCACAAGATCTCTTTGTTCTATATATCTCGCGTGGCAGGCACTCCAATTAACTGAGCGCGAGTAATTATTCTTTTTCATCTTGTTACTGAAAGTGCTTTTAAAAACACAAACAGACATGCAGTCATACCGAAATCAGTGTGGTGTTGCGTGTTTGGAGTGCGGTTGAACTGGAAGTCTTTTTTAAGACCAAATTTCCCAAACTAATGACAAAGCACCAAGTAACTGGTGATAATTAATTAAAAAAAGAGCTGAAAGTTTAAGAATTTTTTCGAAAATCGCAATTGGGAGTTTGTGCCGACAATTCCGTTACAATGTAGTTGTATTTGAAAGTTTTTGCAAGTTTAGGTTTTGCACGTTGTTGACTTTGACAAGGTGAAAGCTCTGATTTAGGCAGAGACAATGAAAAAAGTTGAAGGTAGAGAAAAATAGTAATTACAAACTACTGGGCTTGTTGATTTCCTTTTGGGCTGCTGTTATCCTTGATAATGAGGGGGGAATTGGATGACTCGATTAAAAGTTTTCTCTCGTAATATGACTTGCTTGTAAGTTGGCGTGTTTCAGCTTTTTATAGATTTTGCGAATCATCTTTGATAAGAAAACATATGCACGATAATCCTTTGTGGAAAAGAAGCTTCGCAAAATTAAAAACATTAAACACCTCGCAAAATATACTGCCAACAGTGCAATAAGTTGAGTGCGTATTGACTCAACAAGTGACAGAAGTCATTGAAAGTGTTACGTTTCCTTTTCGGCTGTTCTGCTGCTCATTGCGGCAGAAAACTGTCCAAGTCAGTGTCCGGCAAAAATTTTCACCATCACGAATTCTACGAATTTGTTCTGCTCAACACACACAAAAACCGCTAACCCACAGAAGAATTGAACTCCCCCTCGGAATTTTTCTTATTGTGCGCATGCGGAAGATGAGTGCTGTTTCTATCCTCTTTTCCCTTTGATCTAAGAAATGCTCTCTAGGATGCGCAGAGATTTTGTTAGGTATATGATATTCATTTTTCTGTGAGTTTCACTTTCCTTCCCGCTGGTAGGAGAAAATCTGAAATATTGATAGATAGACTAATATCATTTATAAAGAGTGAAAATAGATGAAAACATGCCTAAACTTGGGTGGTGCGTGAATCTCACTCAGCGTAGAAATGTACTCTGTTTTAGGCCGAGCATTACTGCAATACTCCTAAAAACAAAGAGGAATTGAGTTAATCATGATTGAAACTGATTCAGTAAAACAATTCGGTAACTCCAATTGCATCAAGTTTTTTACACAAGCAAGATACACACCTGAGCATAGCCGATGAAAAATAGTTGATCATTAGTGTAGTGTAGGCTTGGAAGTGCATATTTCTCTTCACCCCTATGCTTTATCAGCCAGTTGTGGTATGCCTGAAACAATCAGAATATTTTATTTTAGAGATCATTCCATGGTTTAAATATCGAGAATCAATCTACTTAAGGTGTTCCTCAACCAGGGATTACTTGGTAAGAAAGTTGTAAATTTATTCAGATTATTATTAAGTCATTTTCACTAGTAGTACTATCTTACGAATGATCGTAGGGGACGACAGATGTAGATGAAAGGGAACAGAGACGGAAATAGGAAAACACTGTAGCTCTATGCTCAGCAGCCGCGAACCGATCTGATATGCATGAAACGAGTTTTGAAATCGAAAAATTTTCCGAGTTTGTGCAAGTGGAGCGAAGTTAGTGATTTTATGGTATTCTCTCGTTCAGATATTTCGTCATTTACAAAACCAAAAAAATGTTTGGAAACGTTAAACGTTTCTGAAAGTACACGTGATACTCTCAAGAAGTTCAAAGAATTTCCAATTGCTAGGCATTTATCAGTTCATTTAAGCTCCTACCCGGCCACATGGATGAAAACGCTCTTCGCAACATAGAATTAGCGGGAAAGATTCTCGAAAGATTTCGTTCATTTTTCGCTCTGATTTAAAGGTCACATCAAGTCGTTTTTGTTCACGAAATGTCCTTGCGCAGAACAGGTAGACCGAGAAAGTAAGATTTTCAAAGTCGCAGATAGTTGTTATTGTGAAGTTCAGAAAATGGTGATCACAAACAGTTTACAGGGGCGTAAGAAGTCATTTTTGGCTTCCAAGCCTGTTCCATGCCTCGTAAGTATAGTGCATTCGATTTAAATCTGTCTGATGAGTGCGTAAGCACGAAACTCCCAGTAACAGAAACCAGGTGTCGTCTTGTTTGATCGCTACCTACTGTATTAAGTTCTGCACATGTGTATTGAGCACTACTCAACGGTATCGGCTACTCTCTCACATGTATATATATATTTCAAGAAGAAATAGATATTCTGAGAAAAGTTTGTAAGCCCGGGCTTACTGGGTTAAAGGGAGCTACGCGCCTGGTTTAAGATTAAGAAGCAAAACTGTTATTTTCTGTGAAGCACAACAGTACTCCATGAATAATTTTAGTGTTCATGGATAGTATTTTAGTGTTCCTGGTAGTAAAACGATTTTGGCAGAGCAGTGTTCCTCAGTTCATTCCATTGTGCAGTCAAATAGTTCATTAATGGTCTTAATGCCGCAACAGCTCTCGTAAGAAATGGTTGCACTCACAAAATATGAAAGTTTAGTGCCACCATTGTCCGCAATGTTCTCTCCAAGTGTCACCTTCCCACTGATCTGGCGCAGAAATCGAAAAAATAAAAGTTAAGTTTCGATAGGTTAAACCATTTTTTCACCTCCAAAAGGAACGTGATGGCTCTCCTTACCGGATATTTCCCTTGAACCTTAAATTTCGAGTACTGCTCTTCGATGCATTGAGATCTCTTGTTAAATTCAATGAGCGATTGCTTGCTCCACCATTCCTTAACGATATCTCCATTTTTATCAAATTTTCGACCTGTTGGTGCAATGAATATTCTTAACAACAACACACTCATATTGAATTTATACGTCTATCTCACACTGAGTATGAAAATTTTGGGACCAGTGTTGTTATCAAAGGAGCGAAGGACAAGTTTCAGCCATAACTGTAAAAACTATGAAGAATTTTTCGAGCTGCAAGAATTGATAGTTAAGGTACTTCCCCATCACAAAATTTAGAGAGAAAGACGGACAGACCAACTAAGTGATGGAAAAATAGCCAGACAGATAGGTTGGTAAGTAGGTGAGTAGGTGGACAGCTAAATGAAAAGAAATGCATTTATAACATACATATCGATGACATATCAGAACTTCTCCTGTTTCGAAAGAGGAAATCTTCACCGCACCCAGAGATCGTACCATTTTTATCTTCACACATGAAATAATAATGTGCCAAGGTAACCGACTTTACCAAAATAGCGGTTTTACTTTTCACGATTGATTTCTCTTTCTTATTACTCCTACATTACTTACTACATCATTTGCTACTCTTTTCATTACTAAGGTTGATTTCAACTTTGAGTTTAGAGGGAAAACCTTTTCGTGATGAAATTTTGTTTCATTCTTACGTCGCAAGTTGAAGTACTTTGTCTACAAGTTTTGAGGCGGTATGCAGGTGATTTCTGCATTTGGTACTCTTAGAATGAGTTTCTAACTTTTCTTAGACTTTAATGAGTAAGAATAGAACATAACGTATCCATCTGAGTTGATAATATCTCTCACTCGCTCTCTTTGCCCTCTCCCAGTTAGCTCAGTCGGTTAGAACGCCAGACTGTTGTGCGGGAGGTGGAGGGTTCGAGCCCTGGCTGGAACAACACTCAAAGGTCTTAAAATAACTCAGGAGAATGTGCTACCTTTGTATAATATCAAGAAATGAATAAACATTCTAGTCTTCTCGGATAAGGACGAATAGACCGTAGGTCCCGTCTCCTGCGTCTATTAATTGGTTAATTTGGTTAGGCAGGGGACGTTAAAGAACCCACTCACGAGATTACTGTGACGCGGTCTGGCCTGGTTACTGGGAATTGGGGGAGACGGGCATCATCATAAGTTTCCTTCTATTGATTGTAAACTGCTGATACAGTCCGGCAAAAGTCCCCCGAAAAGTGTTATGATGTGCATTCGATCATATCCATATGTTAATTTGCGCAGTAGAAATAATAATTATTATTATTATAATCATGAGAGATTTTATCAACGCTTAAAGCGGATAAAAATCGAATCCACGCTCGGCCACGTAATATCCCTTGATTAACCTAATACATAAAAATAGAGGACAGATAAGCTTTTGTCGCGTAGTGTACGATGAAAGAAATGTTTCATTGATTTGCCTTAGCTGTTGGGCAGATACCCATCGGGATCTAAGACTGTACTTGATGATGTTCGTCTTTCGCTTGTATTTGGAACGCTTTAGCGATAGATGAACACTCATCATGTTAGCCTTCTAGAGTACCTCTGTATCAGGCAACGCGTCCCACCCTTTGATGGGTAGTGGACTTTAGAGGCACCTCAAATGGTACAAGTTCAGCTGCCAGATGTGTCGGCTGCAAATCATCAATGTTTCACAGGCATAGAGCAGAGAAGATGAGACGACTACACGATGCACTTTACGCTTGTTCTGCGGGCCGATTCCTCTTCTCTCTCAGACCTAGTCTCAGAGTTTTTCGTGGGCTGAACTGTCCCTAGCTACCCTGTGGGAGACTTCTTTTTTGATGGAGAGTGACAGTGTGTTTCCAAGGTAGACTAGTTTGTCCACTGTGATGACCCTTGACTGTGATGGCTGGCTCTGAGTAGGGAGGAGCATGAACTTACTGGCTAATCACCTCGGTCTTCTTTGAACAGGTCTGTGCCTTTCCGCTTCTCAGACTGTGTGCTAACATTTAATGAACAGCCGTCATCAAGGAGTAAGTCAACGAGCTGTGTCTTCCTGGACTTTGGCTTTGGTCCTTGGAGTGCAGCAGAAATCATTCCCGCAGAACTGCATTCCTTCCTGAACCCAGACTGACTCTCCTGTAACAGGTCTTGCTTGTGAAATCACCTATCTGTCCGTTTAACCAAATACCGGTCGGTGATTTAATCTGCACAGTCCACCCGCGAATCTAGGCTTTATACAACAGGTACACAAACTCTGAGGGGATCACACTTTGTTAGCTCTCTACCCATTCGCCTGTTCGGCATGAGTGGCTCTACCAAGGGTTCAAGACTCTAACCAACATATCTCTGGGGGACACTGAGACACACAAACCATCCCATTGCGATAAGGTGGTGACCCTTATAAGACATTACCCAAACTTCCGATCTCCAAGATTTCATTAAAATATTCTACTTATAAATTTTCTAGACTGTTGTAGAGTATCATAATGCCCCAGTAAGTAAAAAGGGTGATATCTTCGAGGCCTCGACCTCGAGCAAAGCTATCGAGTGCTAACCTCCCACCCAGTAAAAACCGGAAAAGATAAGTCGGCTATCCACGATGTACTCTCTTCTCGCGGTCGTTCAATCACCTTTGTCATCGCTGAGTGAAATTTGCAGAGTGTAGGATAACTAAACGCTAAGTAGAAACCAACAGTTGTTATCAAAATCAGAGTTGACGCATTACAATCCTGTGTGATACTTTATTGACAGTTTTAGATGATAAAGATGACACTAATGAAGATGGTTATGATCATTGTAATGATGATCAAGACAAAAGTGGCAAATAGAGTAGAGATTTTAAATTCTACTTTCAGTAATGTTTGGTCTTACAAATATGTCTGACGGATAGGTTGACGAATAGATAGTTTTAAATTTGGAAGGAAACTTGTGCCAATTTGGCAAGAGTTTCTGCGGACTTCCTGAAAAATTCCTGGACGTTAAAGAATGAAATAGTGATATCAGAAATATGTGGCAAATCATGAAAAGGGACCACAATATTTCGAATATTTTTCTGTCATTCTAGTGTTTGCTAAACCATATTCCACTCTCGTGACTGCAGATCTCTCGAAATGTAACTGACAACATAAACTTGTGGAATGCAAATTAATCTCAAAGAGAGTTCCCCTTTCTCCATTTTCAGAAGGAATCCATTTTTGTAAGTAATCAGAATGTATTTGAGATGACGAAAATGCAGATTCGTGGCAGAGAAAGAATAATTCTAAGCGGAATACGTGTAAAGACATGCGCAAGCCTCCGAACAATTTTTTCTTATGTTGAGAAGGAAAGACAAGAGTGCTTTTTGTTTTTGTTTGTTTGTTTTTTTTTTTGCATACAATAGTCCAAATCTTCATACTGTAATATCAGTAAAAATGAACGCTAGTGGTGAAGTAGATGTACCAATGTCAGTGTTGGTACAATTGATACTGCAATTGCTGCTACTGTTGCACCTGCCTCTTAAATTAAAGTTTGAGGTTAATGACAACTTTTAGCTGAAATTACCAATATTTTTACTTACCAGTGTTATCAAATCCATGGGTGAGCTCATGTCCTATGATTGATCCTAAAGCACCATAACTTAAAGACCTGGAGATTGAAGTAAAAAATCGATTTAAAACTCGAAAACCATCAACGCACTAGTGTTATGTCAACAGCAGTCTAAATTTGATGCCAAACTGCGAACTCTGCCCTAAAATATTAGTTCACATAGACTGACCTTAAAGCAGACTCAAAAGTTAGAGACAAACGTAAGAGTTCTAAATCGAAGCGTAATTTCTCACAGATTAATGTTCTCTTCTGTGGCTTACTTGAGGCGTAAACTGACTAGATGCATGAACTGCAATAGCTATTCATTTCATTTTTTGTCGAAAAGAGCTTGGTGAATTTTACGAGGTATCTTCACAGATGCAGCTCTAGTTTGTTCTGATAGTGCTTGTCTGTTAGGAATATGAAAAGATTGTGGTTTAAATTCGGCTATTGTCGAAGCGAGATAGGACTTTGCTTTAAAACGATTTTCTTGAAAGGACGATAAACGAAGATCAGGGAGAAGGTGAGCAAATGAAACGTTGTTAAAAACTCATTCTTCAGATGTTTCATAGAACAAAACTTGTCCGTATGTGGGTGGATACGATTTAATGTAGACATTAATAACATATTCAAGTGAAACTCAGCTGATCGAAGGCAAGTTCCTATAAAAATGATTTTTTCCTCTTATGAAAAGTTGAACTCAACCTTAGCAATGTTCACAATTCAAGACGAAACCTACGTGGTAAATAAAACCAGCCTGTTAATAAACCTGGTTACAGAATGACTTGATTATCCTCATATGTGAAGATACAGTACGTCTTCTCTTTATTGATACAGTGTAGTTCGTTGACTGTGTGCGCTGATATACTGACGCAAAATGAAGGGATGAGATATGGAAAGAGCAGTGCGACATCCAGGTATAATCGAAGCCTGAAAACGTTTTGCACTAATCAGGTCAAGGATGTTAGGGACTTTAAAATGACGGTGTTTGTACGCCTTTCCTACAGCAAAGTGATTTGCTGCTAAGGCCCTCTGAGGCTATAGCTTTTTCAATTGCGAAGAGAAATGAATTTAAGATGTCACTGATACTATTGTTAATACATTTGAGAGTCCTCCAACTTACCTAGGAATTTTAGAAGAGTAGAAGAAAGGAGACTGAAGTATACCGGCTGGAATAACTACAGATATACAATGATTAAACAAAAGCGAAAAATGTCTAATAACAATAAAAGTTGTCCATGACAGTGACTGTAATATGCATGCGACGTGGAGTTGATAATACATTTAATTATTGACTATGAACAACCACCTTTAGGTCAGTATGGTTTGAACGCAACAGCAAGAGTCGAACATAACAAATAAATTTAGCCGAGTCTGAAAGCAGAGCCCCTAAATGTTTCTTTCTTTGCATGTTCCGTAGATGAAGCTGAACCATGTTTAGAATGGCCCACACTTAGATGGGTTACACAGCCGCGTGCCCAGTTACTGAGGTTGGCCGATTTGGACAGGACAGATCTTTGGATGGGCAATCGTAGGAAAACAGTTCCTTTCATGATTATTCTTACCTTGACAATCACACCATACGATCGATTGTCGCCTATGGTTTCAAACCATTCATAATATTTACTACTCATTGTAATGAGATAAAAGAATTTTTTTACTCTAGTCCTCTCATCCTTGAATGTACGTCAGGTACATTTACTTAATACCCTAGCATTCTAATCATATGACTCCCTCCTTGTTGTCCTTTTGTATCATCTGCAGCTGACTCATCAGGAACCCTTATTAATCATAAACATGGGCTATGATCACTCCTGAGCTTCTGTTTTCCTTGTGATCAGCAGAGTTACGTATTTGTAACGACCATGGCTCACATACAACTTTAACCGGCAAACATGGGCTAGAGTAAATTCTCCTGTTTTGAATGATCCACAGTTTAAAACTTTTTTTATAATATTGAGGCCAGATCCTGGCTTACATACCAAAGAACTTTCCAGATTCAGCTCTTATACCCCTTAGTTAAAAGTTAGAGGTTTCCTTACCTATCTCATTTTCATAAAACTGATACATGGCATTTATTGTCTGTGGAAACATTGGCCACCTGAAAAGATAAAAGCAAAATTGTTGCTCTGCGTAAGATACTCCCCCTCCCCTTTATAACGCACCCACAGATTGATCAATTTAGCAAGGTTCTTTGCGTTTGTTTCTATGATATTGACCCCTCTTGCTGGCTTGATACAACTTTATCTGTATATATTTTCCGAGAGGAAAATCAAATTAAAGGTGAAACTGGTGAAATGGGCTAAATACAGAAAACAGTCCGATTGGTAGAACATGGTCTATCTAGAGAAAGTGGTGCAACTGGCACAAGTGGTCTAACTAGATAATTTGTGCAAACGGCCGGTAGAAATAGTGTAACTAGAGAAGACAGTACAAATGCTTACAAAGGTCTGATCGGTTACAATGATCTTATCACATACTACTCACCGCCTCGAGTGGTCTAACTACATAACAGAGGCAATCCCCTTAAAATAGTCTAATTGGATAAAATGGTCCAACTTAATAATAATAATAATAATAATAATATTCATTGATTCTATTGCGCCTTTACTATGCAATATTCAAAAGCACATCACACTAATATATAACTTAATAACTATACTTATACCTCTATTATAAATCTTACAACTCTTTCAATAAAGCTTACAAACTATTTACATTTAAAAATCTAGCAGAGAATAATAACAACTGTAGAGGAACTTCTAAAATACTGATGGATAAAAGAAAATTGCTAAGATAAGTGAGATGATTCCTTTTATAAAAATGTTTTAATCATAGTTTTAAAAGATTCTAAGTTTCTTGCTTCCCGTACAGACCTAGGTAACTTGTTCCATAAAAGGGAAGCACCTATCTGAAGTGCTCTGTCACCCATTGCTTTCTTTGTTTTCGCAATTGCTCTTTCAAGCAAGGGGCCATTGTCATTACGTCTTAAGCTATAGCACGAAGGCTGTTGAATGCTAATTAGGTCTGAAAGGTACTTAGGCGCAAGACAGTGCAAAATTTTATAAGTTATTAAAAATATAATGTACTCTGGAACTCACTGGTAACCGATGTAATTCTGCAAGCAGAGCCTGTTATGTGACAGAACGTGGGTGCGCGATAAATAAGTCTTGCACTTGCATTCATAACACGTTGCAGATTCCTAGTTTGATGCTTGGGATTCCATATAAAAGGCTATTAAAATAGTCCAGTCTACTACTACTACTACTACTACTTGCCTCCTCAGAACAACTGTAAACTCAGTTTGAGACGAAAGAGGAAATTTCCTCTGGCTAAAACGAAGAGACTCATGAACACATTTATATATAGTAATTGTCGTTAATTTGTGTCCATTTTTCTTATATTTTTCTCATACCTTTATTAGATTTTACTATTGTAACGATTAATCTAATTCAGCTTTTGGCTGTGATTTTAATCAGAATAAACTATCTATCTATCTATCTATCTATACGAAATAGTTTTTTTTTCAGTTGATTCTCCGGAGAGATATTTCCTAATATGACGTATGTTGTACAAGTAATTTAAAGCGCTGCTACGGGTCTTTGTAATATGAGTTCCAATATCTAGATGTGTATCAACTTATTCAAATGGTCCAACTGGTTACAATGGTCTAACTAGATGATAAAATGGTCCAACAACTTAAAATGGTCTAACTATATGAAAAGGTGACACTGTTAAGATTGGTTCAATCAGTAAGAATGGTCTTATAAGAAAAATAGTTCTACTGGTTAAAAAGACCCAAAATGTTTAAATAGTCTAACTAGAAAATAGTTCAATAAGTTAAAATGACTCAAAAGCTTAAAATGGTCCACCTAGCTAAAACGGTCCACCTGATTAAAATTCTCTAAGTAGATAAATTGACAAACCAGTAAAAATGGTCTAACTAGGTAAAATGGTTCAACTTATTATGGTCTAATCCATCAAAATGGAATGGCCTAACTAGATATACTGGTACACTAGTAGAAATGGTCTAATTCTAGAAAATGGCCCAACTGGTTGAAATAAACTAACTGATTAATACAGTCTACCTAATTAAAATGGTGTACCTAGATATCATGGTCCAACTGCTTAGAAAGGTCCAAATAGATAAAATGGTCCAACTGGTTGATATGTGTACTTCGAGCAAACAGGTTGACCTAAAAGAAATGCTCTGTAGAGAATGATCCACCTGGTTAAAATGGTCTGATGAGCTAAATTTTTTTAACAGGTTAAAATTATGTAACCACTTAACGTTGTCCAACTGCCGCGTGCTTCAACGGGATCCAGCCAGGTGACATGATCTCTCTATATTAACCTATCTAGCTTCTTCAAATATTCTAAAAAATGGTGTAGCCGCTTACAATGGTCTAATTAGATAAAAGTGGTTAAAATGAACTACCTAGGTAACATGGCCCAACTCGCTGAAATGGTCAAACAGAACTCTTAAATGTGATGTGTCAACTAATTTTGACGCTGAGTGAGAATAAACTGATCCAGCTGAAATAGATGGTCTAACTAGAGTAAATGGTTCACCTGGTTCACACTGTCCTGCATGTTAAATCGGTTTGATTGGCTAAATGACCCAACCAGGTTATATGGTCCAACTAGTTCAACTGGTACATGTCGTCTAGCTGCATTCGGTCCAGCCGCTTAAAATGGTCCAACTAGATGAAATGGTCTAACCAATTAAAATGGTATAGCCAGGTAAAATCGTCAAACAGCTTTAATGGTCCAGGTGTTAATGCTACTTAACTAAAAAGTGCTTTTCAATGGTCTAATCATTTAAAATGGTGTAACCAGGTCAAATGGTTCAACTTGATAAAATGGTCCAACTGATTAAAATAGTCAAACCGCTCAGAATAATCTGATTGGTGTAAATGTTTTAACTAGAGAGAATGATCCGAATGCTTACAATGGTCCAAGCCTTAACAATGATATAACTACACAAAACGGTCCAGCTATCCCAATGGTCTAACATAGACCAACCCAGATAAATGGTCAGATTAAAATGGCTCAACTGGTTACGATGGTCTAGCTAGATAAAATGGTCCAATGAATTTAAATGGTTTAACTCGATGAAAGGGTCACATTGGTTAAAATGGTCCAGTTGATTGAAATAGTTTAACCAGATAAGATGGTCCAACCGGTAAAAATGACACAATTAGTTTAATCAGTCTAACTAGATAAAATAGTCTTACTAGTAGAAATGGTAGTAAGCTCCCCCTCTTTAAGAGACGTCCCGCTCTAATCTGTTTTTTGTAAATTAGCGCTCCGATTCTGGTAAAACGTCTCTTTTGAGTAGGCACTCTCATTCTCATAAGCACCCCGTATTCCAATGATGGCCAGTGATGGCATTGTTAGAGTACATGTAAATTGAGATCAGCCCCCATTGTTCATCTTCCTCTAACTTTCCACTTAAAGCCTCATTATTAAGACAGTGGTCTACGTCTCAGTCTCCTAACTATTATGGCCACGGGAGTGTACAGTTCCTTAAAAAAAATAATCACGTCTTAAAATTTTGTGTCGATTGCTTAGCAGGTCGTTCTGCCCAGGAAGGATCCACGGACAACAAGTCCGTTTTCCAGTCTTCTTGTTCTTTTCAAACAAACATCAAAGCTTTGCTTCGCACATTCTATTATCTCTCAAAAGAGATATAAGCGCTCTGTCGCTAATAGCTGCTCTGTTTCGAATAAGCGCTCTCCATTGAGGCACGAGAGTGAATAGGCACCATGGGTGCTTAGTCGAATTATTTTGATAACTATAGAAAATGGTCAAACTTGTTAAAATGGCATAATCGCTAAAAACAGGCTAACTAGATAACATGGTCCAACTGCTTAAAGTGATAAAATTGGATAACATGGCCCAACTGGTTAAAATGGTCTAACTGGTTAAGATGGTCCAATTAGTTTAAATGGTCAAACCACTTTTAAACTACCTAACTAAATAGAATGGTCCAAACTCTTAAAACAGTCTTACTTATAAAAATATTGGCAAAACACTTTTTGCATAAAATGGAAGATTGATTGTGTGTTTTATAGACTTTTTTCTTATGTTCAGTGTCGTTAAATATAGGGTCGACGCCCTTTTTGTTAAGTTATTTAATTTTTGTAAATTGTCATATTACTTTCTTGAAGCCTACCTAAAGCCTCCCCTGTAAGTAAACAAATCGACACCCGTGCAGTGCGATTGTCTCGCGTGAGAGACGCTTTCCCCCTTCTTCCCCAACTAAGCAGTAGTAATACGTTCATAATAAATAATCATACTGAGGTCCACCCCACCGACTTTCAAAATACTCAATATGGATGTTCCGTTCCTTTCCGACAGCATCAGAACCTCTGGAGCTCAAAATAAAAATTACGTATGCTGCAGAATATTCTTTATGGAAAGTAATGGATATTAAACTCTTAGAGGCGACGTTCTGTCTTCAAGCAAGGCCTCATGGATGAATCCACGGCCTGGTAAATATTATGTTTAAACTCTGATATGTCTGTAAAGTGTTGCTTCATGGAAGATTTTGGGGAAAATCCTTAATAGGTAAACTGGTCTGAATAAGAAGTGGTCCAAATTGTCGAAACCGTCCAATAGGTTAATATGATGCTACTAAATAAAATAGTCCAATTTCTAAAATATTCAAACGGGTTACAATGGTCCAACCGGTTAAAATTATCCGACCAGTACATATGGTCCAGCTGGTTCAACTGAATGTAATCAATTAGAGATCCAACCGGTTGAAATGGTCCAGCCGTTTAAATGGTCCAACTGGTTAAAATGGTCTAAACTAGATCAAATGGCTCAACTTGCTGTAAATAGTCTATCTTGATAAAAAATGGTCCAACACCTTTAAATGGTGTAACTGACTAAAACGATTGAACTGGTTGATGGGGTAGAATAAGTTGAACGGTTTAACTTGATACAACTGGTCCAGTTAACCGGTCCAACTGGTTATATGGTTCAAATACTTGAAATAATTGGGCCGGTAAGAAAGCTCCAGTTAGAGAAAATGATTCAACCGGTTAAAATGGTCAAACTCAACAAGGGGAAAAATGGTCTTGTCTAACTAAGTAAACTGATCCAATGAGTTTAAAAGGTTTAACTCGATTAAAAAGTCCAACAGATTAAAACTGTCTAACTTGGGAAACTAGTCCAACCGGAAGAAACTTCCAACTAGAGAAAAGTGGTCTAATATAAATGGTTCAAATGGCCTAGTCGGTACAAATTGTTACCCAAAATAATGGCTCTATTGGTGACCCAACTGCTTAAAATGGTCTTACTAGATACAATGATCTAAACCTTAAAAAGGTTGAACTGATATAATAGTCTTACTAGAGAAGATGGTCTAGCAAGAAATAAATTGGTGAGACTAAACTAAATGGTCGAACTGATAGCAGAAAGTCCAGCTTGAGAAAGAGCCCTAAACTGCTAAAAATAATCTAACTTGATAAAGTTGTCCAGCAGGTTACATCAGCCAAACTAATTAGACTTATCCAAACAGCAGGTGTAGTCCAACTGGATCCAACCAATCTAACTAGATAAAATGGGCCAAATCATACAAACGGTCCAAGCATATAAAAGATCCGAGCAATGACAATGGGCTAACAGTCAGAAATGGTCTAAATATAGAAAATAATCCAAATAGCACAAATGATCCAATCGATTAAAGTGATCTTTCTTGGTAAAATGGTCCAATTGAGAAAATGGCCTACGTGATTGAATTTTTCAAACCAGCTTAAATGGTCAACCGGGCATAAATGGTCAACCTGGCATAAATGGTCAACCTGGCATAAATGGTCAACCTGGCATAAATGGTCAACCTGGCATAAATGGTCCATAAGCCTTTTCTAAATCGATGAAAGGGTCCATATACTTAAAACGACCCGACTAGATAAGAGATCCATCAAGTGAAAATGGTTTGACCACATGAAATGGTCCAGCAAGTAACAAATGGTTTTTACTAGAGTAACTGGTCCAGCTGGTGGAAATGGTCTAAGCAGAGAAAGTGGTCCAGCTGCTTGGAACGTAATTCTGCGAATATCGAGAATCGACGAATACTAACGAATCGAATTTCTTTTAGTGAAGTGGTCCAACTGGTTAAAATGATCCTACTGGTTAAAATTGTCTGACGAGATAAATGGTCCAATCAGTGAAAATGGTCCAATCAGTGAAAATGGTCCAATCAGCTAAAATGGTCCAACCAGTTAAAATGGCCCGTGTTACTAAATTTTCAAACTGGTTAAAATGGTCAACGTGGTTTAAATGCTCCATAACCTGATCTATAAAGATATTCTATATACAAGGCTAAAAGATTAGGAAAAAACTTATTAAAATCTTTAAACCAAACGTTTTCGGCTGTTTGCTATCATCAGGGTTGAAAATAATGACCGTCTGTACGTACATATATATCTTATGTGATTCCCGATGGGAAAAGTTTGGAGACATAAGAAATAACCTGTTTGTTGAAACTGGGGCGGAATTGTTGGATCATTAGCCCCTCGACGATCCTACGCTTGTGGAATGTTTCTGCTGAGGAGAGAACACGCCAAGTGAAAGAATGTGATGGATTTTCCCGCAAGTGTTTTGCAGGTTCAGAGGTGTGAGTAGGATTTTAATGCTCCGCAATACGTACTGCTAAATTTATCACAGTTTCGCCAATGTAATCAACGCCACAAGAACAATCTGCTTTGTAAACAACTTTGGATCTGTGAGTGTTTTTGTCTTTGTTGTTAAAAAGGCTTTTAATGTGCCTTGTTTGCCACTGGATTACAAAGATGAAATTAAAATTAGTGAACTCGTTGAGTTTTGTAACAAACGTCTTACCGAGTATTTCGTTTTTACCGCAAAAAGGAAGTTTGATAAAGACTTTCTTTCGGTCTTCGAAGAGAAAATTCGGAATGATGTCATCTTGTGATGAGTCGTTTAGAAAGTTGTTGATTGCATGCAAAATAAAACGTTTGGGATAACCTGCATTGATAAAAGATGTTTCAAGAGTTTTTATGTCCTTGTCAAGATCGGTAGAGATGCGTTTGGCTCTATGGAGTGCACCAGTGATGCAATTCCTTTTCCCTTTGGTAGGGACCTCAGATTTCCAATGTGTTGGTAGTTTTGCCGGTTTCTTGACGACGCTGTAATTGAACTTGTTGTTATAACTAAAGGCAGTATCGAGGATGATGGCAAACAGCCGAAAACGTTTGGTTTAAACATTTTAATATTTTTTTCCTAATCTTTTAGCCTTGTATATGGAATATCTTTTATTAAGCGAACATTATGGATATCTGATCTATAAACCTCTTCTAGAGTTTAAAAAAATTGGTTGAAATAGTTCTTGTTACTCTGCGATTTTTATCCATGTTTCAACTGAAAAAATAATCTCGAACTAGGAAAATGGTTCAACCAGTTAAAATGGTCCAATTTGAGAAATTGGCCTGTGTGATTAAAGTTCTCAAACCGGTTAAAATGGCCAACCTAGTTTAATTGGTCTATGATCTGATGTATGAACTTTTTCTTGAGTTTTATAAAAATTGGTCAGTTAAAGCAGTTTTTGTTACTATGCGATTCTTATCCCTGTTTCAACTATAAAAAATTAAAAATATAATGAGGCTGCAACCTAAGCCATCGTCAGGTAAAAAAAATTGATGCATTTTTTAGATGGTTAAAGTGATTCACCTGACCCACTTCTCTACTGTTTTTTTTTTTTTTTTCTCGTTATTTGAAAAAAAAATCGCAAACAGTCTGAGCCAAAGATTTTCATCTTCAACCCCTGGCTCTACTTTTTCTTTATAAAGGACTGAACGTTTTGCTTGCTTAAAAGAAATATACCTGGATTACCATTGATAAACATGATTTGTCTAGCAGTTGACGAAACAGTAATCGAAAGGACACTTCAAGCTGTTGCTGCAAACTTTTAATCATGTGGGAAAGGCAGGAAGGCGTCTTCACAACACCCTTCCCCTTTTCTCCGCAATGGTAGGTATAGAGCAACAACTTAAGGGGAGAGGATCTTACGCTTCCATGTGTATGCACGGACAAAAGAGATCACTGTGCATTACTGGTGCAAAAGCATTTCCGGTTGCGGCGTTATCGTCCACATAAATGACAACTTGGATGAAAGGTAAATAATGTTCTTGTATTACATATTATTTTAGAGAGAAAACCCCCTTTTTATCCATATCTGGGAAAGACACACCCATTTTGTTCCCTCCCAATAATCTGATGGAATCATCGAAAAAATCAATTTTGCCATTAAGTGACAGAAAGTATCATTTACATGTCCTAATAAACGCTGTAGATACAATCAGTGTAATGTAACGTTTCCAAATCCCACTCACCACCCATAAAAAAAGGTGAATTCCTCTATAGAGATTAACCGAACAACTAGAAGGAATTTCAAATTTGGTGACTCAAATGTAAGTAGAACTTACTTCTCTTTGTCTACTGCCTTTCGAAGTTTGGCAAAGAGTCGGTTTCTAACCCATTTATCCACTTCAATGTTATTCTTAAAAAAGGCGTTTGAGTTTATTGAGAGCTGTGGGGGAATGAAACAAACTCTGTGTCAAGCATTGGGAGTATTCACAAGTTAATAGATGATTAATACTCTTTGAAAAATTGTTTTGTGCTTAGTTTTTTTTTTATCAAAATCATTATTCCGTGTTTCTGCTTTAGATGTTCCAAAAGAGGAAACCAAAGGACTAGTCCCAACAAACTACAGTTTACAGTTTTTTTAAATGTTCCTGCAGGGACTTTCCAGGTCCTACCTAGGACTAATTTTAAATGTATTATTTTCAATTTCTCAAAAAAAGATTGACGATTGAACTGTTTTGTGAAGCGATTGAACTAATTTGTGAAGTGCGACAGCTTTTAACATTTTCTTAAATAGTACTCACACTTGAGAAGCGTGATACGAGTTCCTTTGGATTAACCACGTATTTTGCAAAACCAATCTTACTTCCCAAAACATCGGCCTGGCGATAAAAAAAAAGGATAATAAAAATATATATAAAAAAGAAAATAAGCCTTACTTAGTTGCCTACAATCCAAACCTACCAAAGAGTTTTACTAAACTGAAGCCCACAGTTAACATGGAAAGAATAAAGGACAAGGGTTGTTAGGTAGTTATGAAGATGAGGTAACTGGAGCACAAAAATGAATTTAGATATAAAATTGTCGAGACTCAAGGCTTATAGAACGAGAAGGAAACCTGATCATAAAGAGAAAAGAGAATTAGATAGACCAGTGGGGTGGAAGAAGGACGGACGGGAACAACGGAAAAAAGAGGGAAAAGCACTTAGAACAAGCGAGGAACAAGGCGGGATTCTTTGTAACGGAACAATACTTGTGCAAGATGAAAAAGGGCTGTTTAATGAACAAAACCTGAGTTGCAAAATCAAATTTATCAATTTTAAAAACGTCTGTGTGGTAGAAACATCGATGAGATTTGTGAGAGATAGGGTAGTCTCTAATCAATAAGGGAGAACCATCGGCATTGGGAAGCAATATGTCAGAGAGACCAAAGTCAGGGTTTGTAAAGGTTTTAAACAGACTCACTATTAACGTCCCATCCATTCAAATATCTTAGCAGCTTTCCCAACTCATTCATTGGGTCGCCAATCGTTTCCCTGGAATTCCAGTTCTCTATTCTACTGTCAAAACTGCTTCAACAGGTTACACGTTAAAATAGGACCTTACCTTTTCAAAGACATGTTTTGTTGTGTTATCATCAATCCAATCATGTTGTTTCACTCTTTTCTTAAAAGTTTCCTTAATCTCATCGACCATTGAATGGGTCTGAAAATTATAATGAGAAACAAGTGCTTTGGTAAGAAGTGCGCTCGTAACTGTTAATTATGCTTTACATGCAAATGTAGCCGCCATACCCTTTTTTAATATTAAGGAATTAAAAATTAAATTGTTTAAAATACTTTGCACTACCATTTAGAGATCCTCTTTTTACGAATTTACCTGGTGTGGCTTGAAATAGTTTAGCGATGGAAGGGCTTTAAGGGTCATTCATCCCCGTTTGGTTCATGTACGGTGGCAATAAGAGGAGAGCGACCCATTACACATTCTCATCCACATGCCCGTACTTACCTGATTTTTAACACATTTAAGATACTCAATATATTTCATATTTATAATACCAAGTGCCATGCTTTGTACTCCTTCATGATTATACAGAACCTCCTGCCCACTCCTTTTTCATCATTTTCCAAGCTCGACTCTATCTATCATCAATACCTCACTAATAAAACAAACTAACTTATATCTCCACGCTCACAAACTCCCTTTCCCTCTCTTCGGGTCCAGTTCCCCTACTTTGGAATAGCTTTTACCTCCCACTACGAGATTCACTTACTTTTTGACTACAAATATAACCTAGGGGATTTCTGTCTTTCCGAATCCATGCCACATCGCTCGATCGTTAAAATCACACCGAAATAGGTCGCTTTTTAAACCTGGAGAAAATTTCTTGAGAAACTTTGAATCCCAACTTTTTAGATGATGTCAATGCCAAGTTGTTATAGTTCACCATGACCAGGTTGAAAAAATTGAAGATGGAAGATTTGGCCAAGATTGGTTTAGCTGTAAGAAAACAATTTTGAAAATTGTCACTCGGTCCTCCTTTTGCCGAGGTTTTAAGGAGAGGTTTTCGACGTTTAATCTCTACAATGATGAAAAATTTTATCAAGGGACGTACAGGGTGCACCCATATCCTTTGCCTGCTACATTCATGCCTATATGGGATGGACACCGCTGACTATCCTCCATCCCCGTACTAATCACTTATGCTAATTCTTGCTCGGAATAAATTTATGGGTTTTGTTTACTTCGTGAGATAATGTTGATTGATTTATGTCAATTAATTCACTCAGAACGAATTTTAAATTGAAATATGATACCTTGTCATTACTGGTTTCTATTTTTTTCCATAGAAAAACTTAAAGGGAGGGTTGTACCAATACCTTTGCAATTGCAGACTGATCAAAGAAATTCTGTACGTACAGGGAACCGATCGGAACGCCCATGTTGTCGTTGGTGATTCCCGTACATGTGCGCCATCTTGGATCTGTGTCCTTCACTCCAGATATTCGCTCATTAAACTTGGCTCGGGCTTTTCTAAAAGGCTCTGACAGTAAACTTACTTTATCTCGGATCATTTGCCACACCACGTAGTTAGACAGTAACCTGAAAGTAATCACCATTAAAGCACTACGGTTATTGATTCTTACCACAATTAGACGGATTGATCAAGGACTGGGCAGATAAAGAGCTGGATGGACAGACAGACACATGGACTTGGTGTCATGGATGAATGGAGAAAGAGCGGGTCGGAGAGATAGACGGATGAAGATATAAGTTTTAGCCGTATCTTATGAAAGATTTACGTTTGCTGAAAAAACTGTAAAGTCCCGTTGTCGCTCACTCTGAAGATCTGAAGCTTTCTGTTATACAGGGCCACGACCCCGGGTATTGATTGCAATTTACGACCGCTCAGGGATATCTAGCAGCTTTTAGGCCACAGATGATAGTATATCTGGCTGTTCTAGGAGTCCTGGTACACCTGAAATTCACGAATATTCTTTTAAAAAGGTTTACCTCTGTCTTTACTTTGAGTTTCCGTAACCTACTTTTTGTTCAAGTCATAAACTCATCTGCCATCAAGTACAGTCAGACGATTATGATTGTCTGACAAACAAATTCAATGGTTTACGGTAATTATAACATTAGGCATGATTGTTTTCCTTTGAGAAACGTTGCCGCCCAAAATGAACAAAAATCTCCGAAAACTCCTCACTCTAGAGTCTCGCTACATGATACACTTTAACTTCGATACACGAGCTGAGTCGGCTGTATAGAGAAAGGAGATCGCGATTTCTTCTACATTATTTCTAAGCCAACCATTTCTGTCTTGAGAAAAAGTAAGGAAATCAGCCTTTCGAAGGCAAGAATGGATGCGACATAAGAGACGATACGTTATTTTTGCTGCCTATCAAAATGAATAAGGAAAAGCCGAAACCATAAAAATCAACATAGGCCTCACTCGTGTTCCTTAACAACTTCCTAATACGAACCTTTAAAAGTACAAATGGAATGTTTTCCTATCCCTGTCAGATTGATAAGGAAAGATGAAATATTTGATTGTCGCATTTCAAAGAAGTCAGAACTGTAAGTTGCCGACCTCTTGTAAAGTGACCTTACTCACGAAGCTTAACTTTTTAACACCGCAATACATTCCGAAGGCGAGGTGAATATCGTCGAATAATCCCCGAGGCGAAGTCGGGGGGATCATTCCACAATATTCATCGAACCTGAGGCGAATAATTGTTTTAGTATAATTTCAGAGCTGAACAACAGAGAAATTTCTAAAATCATAACATTTTAGTAACATTTATCGACATTTTATTTTAACATTGTTTTGTATAATTTCAGAGCTGAACAAAGAGTTTCCAGCAATCTGATTGGTCGAGCGGTTCTTTCTATGACGCTATATAAACCGCTCCACGCGGTTTATATAAAATGTTAAAATAAACTGTTAATAAATGTTACTAAAATGTTATGATTTTAGAAATTT